GGAGTTATCCCCCTTATATTCCAATATAAGAGCTTTAAGATTGCTAGGAATAGTAATATCTTGCAGAGTGATTTCCCCTAGCTAAATTTAGCTCTCATCAGATATGACCAGCTAAATGAATCACTACATTTACTGTACAGAAGCTAAAAATTTGCTGAGCATGAATATATCATGCTGACACTACTAAAATCAAATGCAAGCTAGTGCACCTGCAAGTATATGATTTTTTTTTTCCAAAATTTAATTTAGATCTAGTTTCGGTCTTTCAGATGCTTTTAGCTGCAGACTAAGTCATAGCATTATATCTCTTTTCTAGATTAGCTACATGTAGCATGGGACCAGATGCTCCTACTACTGAAAATCTGTGTCTTACTGAACACTCTGTCACTATAATAAAAGGGGGAAAAAATTCCCTTTTTCCAGTTAATTGTTATCAATTCTAAAATAAATAATTCCAGCTTCTGTAATTATACTACATGCATTTTAAAATTGGGGAGGGGTATTAATCATATTGGGATGGTTCTTATTTTTTTTTGCTAGACAGCTATAGTGTTTCTTTCTTTCTTTGGAGTCCTGCAAATAATTAGAAATTGGTGTTGCTTGCAGCTTTAATATATGAATACAAGTACATGTATATATTTAGATTTAAATAATGGTGATTTTGCTTGTTTGATATTTCAGCGTTAAGAGGTTTAGAGGTTTTTACATGACTTTACATAGAAATAAAATATTTGAATTCTGTGTGTCTGATACTGAACATTGCTAAGTGCATGTGTTTTATTTTTGTTGGGGAGAGGGAAGGCATTAAATTTAATTCATATTTAGTGGTGAAAGAAAATTGTGACCACACAATGAACTTAGATAAGCATTATTTCATTTTCATTTCTTTTTTTTTTTTCTTTTTTATGGAGTAATTGGTTAATGTGTTGAAAAGTGAATAATGAATAATATTGTTATGAAGTAATTTATTCCTTGAACAGCATGTAAATGTATAAAGTGTCTTGTGAACATACATAATTTGTTAACTTCTCGTTGAGAAGATTACTTTTTAAATGCTGTGGGTTTTTTTTATAACCACAAAAAGTCTTTTTTTTTTTCATTTCAAATCTATCCTAGTGCCAATGAATTGTGTAAAACAATGGGTTCTTGTTAATAGAAATGCCCACACGAGATGCTAATTTTTATTGTTTTTAACTCAGACTTGGATCTCTACTGTTGGTGAATTTGGCAGGTTTCTAGGATGTAGATGTTTTTTTTTCTGTAATTATAGAGTTTTTGCTTGTCTGTGCTGTCTCTATAGACTATCTGTTGAATAACAGAAAATGGAGTTAGATTGAAGGAGGCTTCCCTAAATCAATGATACCAGTAGATAATTTTTTATATTGAGATGTTCTGATCTTATAGACTTGCTGAAAGATCTTTTTCTCTGTGGTGAAGAAATAGAAAATTCAATTTTGTATGGGTTTACTAGTATTTGTTGTGGCAGTTTTTAGTATTTGATGTATGGTCAAAATGTTACAATGTACTACAGAGTCAGAATTTCCTTTTTTTTTTTTAGCTCACCTGAGCTGAAAGCTCAAGTGAGCTTTTCTGATCACATTTTGTCCGTAGTCTGTCTGTCCGTCCGTCCGTCTGTAAACTTTTCACATTTTCGACTTCTTCTCCAGAACCACAGGGCAAATTTCAACCAAACTTGCCACAAAGCATCCTTGGTTGAAGGGGTTCAAGTTTGTTCAAGTGAAGGGCCATGCCCTCTTCCAAGGGGAGATAATTAAGAAGAAGTGAAAATTTGGTGTCTTCTTTTAAAAATCTTCTTCTCAAGAACCATTGGGCCAGAAAAGTTGAAACTTATGGGAAACTTTCAGTACATAGTGTAGATTCAAGTTTGTCCAAATCATGACCCCCGGGGGTAGGGTGGGGCCACAATGAGGGATCAAAGTTTTACATAGGAATACATAGGAAAATTCTTTAAAAATCTTCTTCTCAAGAACAACAAAGCCACAAGTAGTCATATTGATATGAAATCATCCTCAGGTAGTGTAGATTCAAGTTTGTTCAAATCATGACCCCAGGGGGTAGGGTGGGGCCACAATGAAGGATCAAAGTTTTACATAGGAATACAAAGGAAAATTCTTTAAAAATCTTCTTCTCAAGAACAACAAAGCCACAAGTAGTCATATTGATATGAAATCATCCTCAGATAGTGTAGATTCAAGTTTGTTCAAATCATGACCCTTGGGGGTAGGGTGGGGCCACAATGAAGAATCAAAGTTTTACATAGGAATACGTAGGAAAATTCTTTAAAAATCTTCTTCTCAAGAACAACAAAGCCACAATTAGTCATATTGATATGGAATCATCCTCAGGTAATGTAGATTCAAGTTTGTTCAAATCATGAACCCAGGGGGTAGGGTGGGGCCACAGTGGGGGATCAAAGTTTAACATAGGAATATATAGGAAAATTCTTTAAAAATCTTCTTCTCAAGAACAACAAAGCCACAAATAGTCATATTGATATGGAATCATCCTCAGGTAATGTAGATTCAAGTTTGTTCAAATCATGACCCCAGGGGGTAGGGTGGGGCCACAGTGGGGGATCAAAGTTTAACATAGGAATATATAGGAAAATTCTTCAGAAATCTTCTTCTCAAGAACAACAAAGCCACAATTAGTCATATTGATATGGAATCATCCTTAGGTAGTGTAGATTCAAGTTTGTCGAAATCAAGACCCCCTGGGGTAGGGTGGGTCCACAATGGGGGATCAAAGTTTTACATAGGAATATATAGAAAAAATCTTTTAAAATCTTTCAAGAACAGGAAAGCCATGATTAGTCATTTTGATATTAAAGCATCCCCAAGTATTGTAGATTCAAGTTTGTTCAAGGCATCCTGCAGTAGTAGGGTGGGGACATTATCGGGGAAAAGAATTTATATAAGAAATATCTTTAAAAATCTTCTTCTCAAGAACAACAAAGCCATAATTAGTCATATTGATATGGAAGCATCCTTAGGTAGTGTAGATTCAAGTTTGTTCAAATCATGAACCCTCCCCCCCCCCCTACCCCCCAGGGTAGGATGGCAGACATCTTTAAAATTCCGTTTCAAGAACAGAAAAACCATGATTAGTTATATGAATATAGAAGCATCCATCAGAAAGTTTAGATTCAATTTCATTCAAAACATGGCAATTGGGGTTAGGTTATGCCTAGAACAGTTGATCAAAGCTTTACATATGAATATATAGAAGAAGAAATCTGCTGACAAAGAACAGCAGGGCCATATTGACTCAGGTGAGCGTTGTGGCCCATGGGCCTCTTGTTTTTTTTTTTTTGTTTTTTTTTTGTTTTTTTTTTGCTCAAATTTTTAAAAAAAGGTGAATTCATGTTGTTTATTTTAGCAATTAGAATTTAATACCCAATTAGAAAATCAATTAGAAACTGAAAGGCGTTGAGATATAAAACATTTAATTTGTTCATTAAATTTGTAAGGCCTTGAATCGATCATCTTTGAATGCATGAATGGAGTTAATAAGATAGAAGATGTTGATCCTCTCTACAGTGTATGTTTATACATTTAAGAGAATAAAGTCATTGTTATTGATCCTGGAGAGGATGGATCTTGAACTTTTATGTTTATCAATAATAAAATTTTGCTTGTAAAACAGTAAGAGAATGTTGGAGGGTATGGCCTTTTGTTTGACTCCATGAAAGTTTTATCATAAATGGGTGCCATTTTTGGATAAATTGACCTAAACTGGGTGGTTCTTATTGGTTTGCTGGATATCTCTTCAAGGATGACATATCATTGGTTTTATAATGTATAGTATATATATAATGTATATATCAACTTATCAGGGTGTCATGTAAAATCTTTAATTCACCTACTTAATGATACAACACACTTTTACTCCTATATACAAAAGCATTTTCGGGAGGGGATTAACATCAGTATATCTGACTGCTTGAAGTACTGTCTCTCTCTATATACTGGTATTTGGTCAGCCCTTACATGAAATTCATGAAATAAAGAGAGTTTTGTTCATTCCAAGACCTGTTAAGGATGACATTCTTGCTTCATTTAAAGGTTGCCAAAGACAGAAGACTGTGATATGACCCCCATCCCAAGGTCAAGGTCATTGCCTGTCACCATTGTATAGTTAAACTCTTGTCTGGCTTATAATTGTTAACAGAATACAAATTCAAATTGCTCACATTTTTCACTAAAATTACTTGTGAGCAGAAGATGTGTCATGAATTATGTCAACTTGTTATATTCAGTGATATTTCTTCAATGTTACTAAAAATGTATTCTTCATAAAACACTATCTTAATTCAAACAATGTATTGAAATCTGCCCTGCAATGAGAATGCCCACTGTGGGCCCAGATATGTTCTCCATGGGCCCTGTTTCAATTTTGTCCACCATGGACTGCTATGAGTTTGCTCACTATATGACCTAGCTGTTATTATAGCTTTTTCATTGTGAAATAATTGTCGAAACAGTTGTGATTTTCAACTCAGGAATACAACAAGTGATGCAAAGTTCTGTCAGATCTGCATGCTTCATACGGATGCTTTTCATGTTCTGCTATGTAATCTTCTAGCTTAAATTAGTCTCACCCTGAACTGTAGAATTGCATGCATAACTCTAATAGTATAACCTAGCTCTAGTTCTGTCCTCACTTTCTAGCTTGCTAGAGATGCTGAGATTTTACATATAGACCAATTGATTAATGAAATTTAATGCAAAGATTTTATATGTCTTTAAGTTATTTTCAAGTATGAACTAAATTTTAAAAAATTCTTATTTCTGGTAAATTCATTGGTTTCATTTGAAAACTAATCAGAATTTAAGTAATTACATTTTAACATTCATTGTTCAAAATTTAATTTTGATCTTGAGTTTTATGAACACAATGCAGTGCTTCAAGTATTGCCTATTTTGTTGTGATATTATCTGGTTGTATCGTTTTTCACCTTTGACCTCCTACTTTTAAAGGTCACCTACAATGGCAGGAGGACTTTTTTCCATCAGTAGAGAGTATTTCACAGAGATTGGAACCTATGATCCTGGAATGGATATCTGGGGAGGTGAAAATCTGGAACTCTCATTTAGGGTAAGCCAAATAATCCTGGTCATGGCACCAAAACTCACTTAGAGATATATTTGCGTGATAAATATATATGGAGAGAAGAACACAGAGTTATTTGTATAAAATTTTATTTTGTATGAGTAATTTTTAAAAGCAATTATCAGAGACATTATTAGTAATCACTTGAAATCTAGACAAATTTGATTAAAATACTAGAGGTTTATAGAAAAATATAGATTATTATCTTTTGTTTCTATACATAGGTTTGGATGTGTGGAGGAACATTAGAGATCATCCCATGTTCCCATGTTGGTCACATCTTCAGAAAGAGAAGTCCCTACAAATGGAGGACCGGCGTGAATGTCGTCAAGAAAAACTCAATCCGATTGGCTGAAGTGTGGATGGATGATTACAAGAATTACTACTATGAGAGATTTAATTATGATCTGGTATGACATTGTCACAAAAAGTTATTTGTTTTAATTCAATTAAATCTATTAAGGTTTTTTTTTGGTAATTTTCAGTCAATTTTAAAAAACAAAAAAAAAAATTTCAACTTTATACGCAATGTTGGTAGAGTTCAAAAATAAAGTTTTCACAAAGGTCTTAATTGGCATTTTAGCATATTAGGATAAAAAAATTCATTGTTTATTTTGCCTTTCACAGGGAGATTATGGGGATGTCTCAGAAAGGAAAAAACTTCGTGAGCACTTACAATGCAAAAGCTTTGATTGGTTTGTTAAAAATATATATCCTGACCTATTTGTACCAGGAGAAGCCTTAGCATCTGGAGAGGTAAATGAACATTTATGTGTTTCCAGAAATAATATTTGAAAATGCAGTAAGAGTGAAAGAGATGATTTGTTTCGTTGGTGTAAAATTGAGGCAACAATATGATGTAAAATTGTATTCTTTATAGAGATTGCATGGTTTAATGCAGAATGAATAATAATTTTGCAGGTACGCAGCAAGGCCAAACCAATGTGTATAGACAGTGCCGTGGATAACCACAATTACCACAAGCCTGTCAATATGTGGCCATGTCATAACCAAGGAGGAAACCAGGTAAATATCGACAGTGAATCAGTTTTTATTGTAAATTTGTATATAAAGCCACATAAAAGAAATGCTAATTTGATTCGTGTTTTATTCAGTATATATTATATTCAATGCATTGAATGGGATTGGAACACTGGCTCATTGCCAAGTTTAAATTTGATTTACAAAAGTAAAACTCGTATCAGTAGATTATAAAAAGTTAAAAAATAAAGTGCTCAACAGTTCTTAAAAATGAAGTGCTAAACAGTTCCGCTATTAATTGTAGTACTGGATGCTGAGTAAGAATGGTGAGATCCGTCGAGATGATGGATGTCTGGATTACTCTGGAGGAGAGAATGTCATTGTGTATCCATGCCACAGCCAAAAAGGCAACCAGGAGTGGCAATATAGAGAGGTCAGACATTTATCAAGATTCCTTATTTTGAGAATCTCAAATGATAATAAAAGATAACTTTTTGACTGACATTGTTTCGTGAATCTGTTCACTGTATATGTGTCCTGTTTATCAGTAAATACTATGTTGACTTTGTTCATGTTGAGACTGGTTTAAAACATTTTCAGCTTTGTCGTACTGCTTCAAACAATGTCTTATTTAAAATCTTGTTTAGTTATGAGTGAACTTTTTTGCATAACATTGTCTGACAATTCAGGGAGAGGACTTAAATAGGCATTTTTTGCCTGCTGTCCAATTCCTTTCCATTTGGAATTGGAAATAAATACAGTGTATTGTTTCAATTAAGTTGAAAAAAATATTAAGTTGTTGTATGAATAAGCATAGTAGAAGTTAGAATTAATTTACCCATAATTCCACATTACAGGATAATTCTATATACCATGCCAACACCCAGAAGTGTATGGAGGTCAGCGTAGATGGTCAGAAACTGACAATGAAGACGTGTACCGGAATTGATCGGCAGATCTGGCTGTGGAAAAGAAAGTCCCCTAGTGGAATAGTCAGAAACTAGGGGCAGACAACTTTGGTGTCTGCAGGGCACACAACTACCGATTGGAGAGTTATTATTAGTTACCCACCTTACTAAAGGAAGAGAACTGTCAAATATAATGACAAGGGGGAGTTAACTTTGCATCATACTGCTTAAATTCATGTGTGATAAACTAAATGTTAAAAAAAGTATTTTTCTATGCAATGCAGACATTATTTTTTTATGTAGAGGAGACAATGTCGCTTTGTTAGATCTGTGATTTTTTTCTTTTATTGAATGGAGAACACTGAAATATGATGACATTGCAGATGTTATTGCATTGTGGGTAACAATATGTTGTAAGCCATGTCATTTTAAATGACTGTATGGTTGTAATTTGTGTTCCAAGATAAAAAAAAAAATGCTAAAAAGAATGTTTATTTACAAAGGTGTAAAACAGGTATTGTAATCGCATTTATACAAGATAAGCCAGGCTTAATTATATATCATAATAATGTACTTAAAGTTTATATCTGAGTCCTCTACTCTGTTTTTTTTTTATAATAAAATCATGGCAAATATGAATTCACACAGAATGTTACATTTCTAGATAAAATCATTTTTTACAATATTGAATATTATATGTGACTAAAAGTTGATAATGCATGTTTGTTGTCACAAATATGTGGTACAAGATTTGTCTTTTGACATTTAGTCAAGTTCTTTGACAGGTTCTTCCTAGGTCATTTTGTAGTTTTCCAAATTTTGAGAATTGTTTGGTTTAGTCTTAATTGCAAAATTAAACTGGTGAATGTTCCTATTTCCAGTTTTATATTCAGTTAATTAATTGGAACTGTTATAATTTAAATTAAGACTCAGTCATTTAAAAATGATGCTTTTAAATGTTACTTATAAATGAGGCACATGTAATAATATTTAACTACAAGTTATGTTTCAAATACAAAATTCAGCTTTATTGTAATGAAAGTCAATGGAAAGACATTGGTGCTAAATTTTAAATGTTGTTAACTTTTGCAATTTGCCATGTACATGTATATGTATTTCAAAACATTCCTGTAGATGTATTGTTGCTCAGATTTTTGCATACACAGTAAGCTTCAGATATTTAGCATGTTTTCTTTATAGGATGATATGATGTCATTTTTTACATTGTTTTCATCAAAGCCCATGATTGCAAAACCAATACTATCTGGGTTAGTGTACAGAAATATTTGCCAAATGATTTTGACCATTGTTCTGTAGATGTGAAAATTTTCATATGTTATTCATTGGCCAAATCGACGTAGTAGGCTTACAGTGTTTTTCTCACTCCAGAATTCTTGCAGGTTTCAGTATATTGATATGATTTATAATAATAGATGGTTTACATACAAAGCAAAATGTTCCACCTAACTTGGTATGTAGTTACCGTAAGTAAGCCCCATTTGTAAATTTTCACGTTTACGGTATCTGTTTATCCTTTATTGTGAGACTTTGTTTTACATTCACCAAATATCTGTGTATTTCAGTATTTTCATTTTATCCTATGCATACCGGTAATTTCAAGGGACACAACTTATGTTTTACACAACTTATGTTTGATATATTATAAAAGTTTTTTTTTTCAATCCTACAAATTTAAATGTCAGGAGAAATTTCTTTTTGGACACATTCATTTTACAGATTTCTTTTTTTAATCACACATATTATGGTCCTCAAGATAATGTTGAAGTTTCATATAAATAATTAAACTTCACCAATTCTGATCCTTCATATAAAAAAATCATAACAGATTGGTCATCAATTCTTTTCTTCAACTCAAACTGACCAGTGCAGTATTATGAGTTATTACAATTCTATACTCTAACATACAAAAATGTCTCCCTCCTATTAAAAAGCATTCCATGTCAAACTTTTTACTTAAGTTCTGTGTTCTATACTTGTTGGTCTTTGTGCTTTGATGTATCATGCTGTTATTTTATGAACATTTTATAAGTATAATTTGTTGCATATAAATATATATATATGTATGTATATTTGAATATTTTCTCTTTAATCAGTGACAATGAAATCCATTATGTTGAATTATTATGAGACACATTGTTCTCAAGTGGGGTGAATGTCTAAAATGTTTCTATACTAGTTATAATCATGTCATATTTTTCATTAGACAGTTCTTAATCCTTATGCCTGTAGAGCATTGTGATTAGTAAAGAATGAGGTCAAATTTCCTCTTTGTATGGCCTACCTGCTCTCTGGGTGAGCAGTCGGTGTCACAGTCAATTTTAGTCTTGAAAGTTTCATATTTAATAAGTCTGTTAAGCCATTGTTTTTTTCAATATCAACTTCTACTGGATTTTCTTTACATTGTTCTTATATTGGTTTATTCTACAATATAAACTATAATCTATAATCAACTTTATAACAACACTGAGTATTTTTCTTACTTACACTTTGTATTAATGGTTTTAAAAGTTTTTTGGGGTCATATTTAACTATGACTTTAGTGGGGCAGTATTTTGAATCTTCATATAACTTTTTATTCAATTATGCATGAAGATGGCATACAATTTTTTTTCTTCAAACTTTTATATATATTTGAGGCTTTTTTTTGCATAATTATACTGGACAATTAACTGCTGTAATTGGTTTAGTTATAATTAAAAGGTTTGCTTTATTTTGTTTAAATGTACCACTTTACATTTTGTAGAAAAAGTATTAATTTATCAATCTAACTCTGACAAGTGGAATATTACATTGTTCCTCTAATACAGAATTATAGCCACTGTGCAGTGTAAATTCCAATACTTTAAGGCTGTGAAGAGTTTCATTCATTTCAGATTCTGTTTCACATTTGGTATAAAATAAAATGGTGGTGTATGAATAGAAGTGAGGGCTGGTCACCAGCTAAGTGTGCCTTAATAAACAAACAAAACTTAACAACTTTTGTGTTTTTTGTCATATACATGTATATGTGTAAGAATTGAGAAATTGTTCATGCATAAAGATATGTCACTAACTTTGAATACAATGGAACTTTGAGAGGGAAAGGATATGCTGAAGAAGAGCAGGGCCAAGGTGATTCATGTGGGGAGAGATATGGTCAACAGGCCTTCTGTTAAATTGTATATATATGACTGTATATCCCTTTGATGAGGTCGATCCATAGATATATCGACTTAACAGAAAAGCATATCAACTGTGCACTAATTGTGAAGTCGATATGCTTTCCTGTGAAGTTGATATACCTATGGATTGACTGAATCAAAGGGCTACATTTGTTATATTATTTTCTATGGAACAGAAAAGAAACAAACAAATTCATTATTAGATTTTGCAAGTTTTACAAACCTCTCACTAGTAAACACATCTTAGACTTTGGGTTTTCTTTAAGTTATTTTTATTAACTAAGTCATTATTGTAAAATATAACTTTGCATGTGACATCAAGAAAACCAATCGGATTTATTGAAAATGAAACAAACTTTGTATTTTAAATTTTGTCCATATTATTGGTTCCACTGTGTGTGTGTGTGTGTGTGTGTGAATATATATATATATATATATATATATATATATATATATATATATATATATATATATATATATATATATATATATATATATATATATACACACAGTGGAACATTGTTGGTCAGGACACCAATGATATGGACAAAATTTATAATACACCAATGATATGGACAAAACTTATAATACAAAGTGTGTTACATTAATCCAGACACTTCATTAATCTGTACAATTTTCTAAGGAACACAAATGTCAGGATTAGAGTGGAACAACTGAAAACCCAAAATTTAGATCCCATAATCTGGCCAAACCACGTGGGTCATGATTTTAAGAACTTGAATCTTGATTTTTGATTCTTTGAGGATGTATGACCATTGTTATGACTAATCATGGCCATCCTGAAGATTTTTTGTCTCCCAAGACGAAGGTACGGTTTTGGCTTTATTGTGCCCTAAAAATTTATTGTTTTCAAAAACTTTTGAAACTGGCTTAAATATTAGTAGAGTATATGACTGTGATAAATCAGGAAAGCATATGGAATGAAGGAGTACCATTCTGGAAATATGACGTCTTAATTTGATGCATTTCTCTATTTTAAACATAAAAGCCTCAAAATGACCCATTTCATGGATTATTTTTTTTATTAAGAAAATAGTGCCCACAGCCGTCGCCCACTTTAATTTTCGGATATGTTGTGTAAAATTCTTTGAAAAATCGCATATCTCAAAATCTTTGTGGGCAATGTCTGTGGACAATATTATCTAAAAGAATATTCCATTGAAAATTGGTGTCTTCTGCAAATTTTATAGAAAATACGAAAAAATGCACATGTTTATGACGTCACAAATAGCATTTAAAAGGTCGTGTGAGAAAAATGATTTGTATGATCTTTCTGCATGGAATTTCAATAATTCAGAAAGCATGAGTTTTAATTTTTTACATCACTTTCAGTGAAAGTGGGGTATATTTATTTCAGCCAGTCTGTTCATCCTTCCCTGTGTCTGTCATTCTGTCTATGTGTAACACTTTCATTTCCAGACAATATCTCAAAAGCCCTGTTACAACGCAAAATGTAATAACAATGCAAAATGTAATAAACTGAGATTATTTCATTTTGCGTTATTACATTTTGCGTCGAGATCAAGCAAAATGTTATAATCCAAAAATCATATTATTACATTTTGCGTCATTACCTTTTTGCGTTGATCTCGACGCAAAATGTAATAACGCAAAATGTTTTAATCCTAAAAAGTATGTTTTTACATTTTCTGTTATTACATTCTGCATTGATATCGACGCAAAATGTAATAATCCAAAATGCAATAATCCCAGTTTATTACATTTTGCGTTGTTTTTATATTTCGCGTTGTAACAAAGCCTTTTGAGCTTTTGCAATGAAATTTTATTTATCTGAATTCTTTATGAATTAAAGAAGACCCCTATTGATTTTGAGGTCAAAAGGTCAATGTCAGAAAATCATTACATTCTGTTTGTATTTAACACTTTCATTTCCGGACAATATCTGAAAGAGCCTTTGAGCTTTTGTAATTAATTTTTTTATCACAACTTCTCATGGGTGAAAGAAGATCCCTAATGAATTTGAGGTGCAAAGGTCAAGGTCAGAAATTCATACATTGCAAATAACAGTTTCCAGGTGATACTTAATTTTCTTTGATCTTTTCTTGATGGAATTAATATCACAAGTCCCTTTGGCCGAAAGGATCCCTTTGGATTAGTTCCAAAGGTTAGGGTCAGAAATTCATACATTCTGTCTCTGTGTATCACTTTCAATTCCAGTCAATATCTTGAAAAAGCCTTTGCACTTTTGTAATGAAAATTTATATCACAATGTCAAGGTAATGAATTCATACACTGCAAATAACAATTTCAAGATGATAACTTGAGTTTTCTTTCAGCTTTTCTCGATGAAATTTAGCATCACAATTCCCTATGACCTTAAAAAGACCCCTTTTGAGGTCAAAAGATCAAGGTCAGAAATTCAAATATTGCATAAAATGGTTTCCTGTTGATAACTTGAAAGTTCTTTTTGAGCCTTTTCAATGAAGTTATATATAATAACTCCTATTGACTTAAAAAAACCCCTTTTGATTTTAGGTCAAAAGGTCAAAATCAGAAATTCATACAATGTAAATCAAAGTACTGAAGGTACTGATGGGAGTTGATTTTAAGAACGATATTTCAAATAAAATTTTATGTTTTTAATCTTGTTTACAACTTTTAAATTATGTACAACATTGCTTCTTAATTTGTTATGCGAGTATCAAAAGACTAAAAAAATGTCACGATTCTACGGAGTCAAAAAGGTAGGGCTTGTTTTGATTTGACCATAACTTTTGAATGATATGCAAAAACGTGTAAGACTTCTTCATTGCTCAAAATTTTTCAGTAATTTAACGTATTTTCCTTACCAAAAATTTGTTTAAAAGTGCCAGAGCGACTTTTTTTTCGTCAGAATGTGATTCAAGTTGTTGATTCCGCTCCTATATATATATATATATATATATATATATATATATATATATATATATATATATATATATATATATATATATATATATATATATATATATATATATATATATATAATCTTTGAATAAATGATTTTTAAGTGAATTTACATATAGAGAAGTGGTGTACGTTTTGCTAATTTACATAGGCGCCATATTGTTTTCAATATGGCAAATTTTTGTTCAATGCATTATAAAAGAAAAAAAAGCATAGATTAAAAAATATCAATTCGGAATAAATTTCCTCATTTGATTCTATCTTTTATTTTGTCCTGTATCGGAATGCAATCTTTCGTTTACAAAATGACGAAAAGTTGAAAGTTTCTTTCGAGTTTGAAAACTAAAGCGAAGCTGCATTACAATGATATTCATGTAGGAAAAATGTGATGAAAGAGCTTACAAGGTCTTTATCAAGCAAATTTATAAATATTTGTCATTTTCCGATTTCATCCTCATCTTGCGTGAAGTTATCAAACTTGCAATTTCAGTTTCTAAGATACATGTAATCAGATGTTGTTGTTTTTTTTTAACTGAAGATCTCGTTTTAGACAGAATCAGAAAAACTGAACAACACTCCCAGTGGGGAAATTGCAGGTTTTTTTGTTATTTTTTTTTTTTACCTGAGAAAATATTGAACTTCATTATTGTCATACGATAAGGGAGTAATAATTAAATTAATCAAATAATTACTTATGTTTCATTATAAAAAGATTGATAATTTATTTTTATTTATTTATTTATTTTTTGAAAAATATCACAAAAATAATGAATATTTATTGCCAACGGTCACATTGTCATTAATTCATGAATAAGGTGTACAACATTTAACTCTGACCAAAGTTAAATCACGATAAATACCATCTATATTGGTGATGAGAAAATTAATGGAGCAACATGTATACCAGAAATATTCTTCTCAAATTTATGCCCTCTTTCCAGATTTGTATTGTTTTATAGATTTTTTTAAAGATCAATCACTGCCTGTTATCTTCACCTTTTTCATAGTGACTTGGATTCACAATATACATCTTCACTCTTGTAAGGGGGAAAAGATTTACCAGATTTTCAATTCTATACCAATAGCTTATCTTAATTTGATCTTACAATGTCTAAGTGTATAGGGGAAATCTACCAAATTCAGATAGTACAGCAAAACTAGTTGCATATTTATGCACACCAAGTATGAATTTGCAAAATTTCAGTTTATCACAGAATGATTTGGATAACATCCTGTTTATTGCACCGCCAGGGATGCTATTTTTTTTTTTTTTTTTTTTTTTTTTTTTAGTAAACGGATTAAAATTAACCCAAATTTCATATGCATACAATGATTAAAATAGGGTTAATTGAATGATCAAAAAAGTGAACAGTGGTTTTAATTACTGAATTTATTGAAACTATTAATTTTTTCTTCCTTTTTTAAAAATTAATTAATTTATTTATTTTTCTGATCGATAAGTTAATATACTTTGAGCAATAGATAAGAGCATGAGAAATGATACATTTAGGTATTTGTATTTAGATACACTATATGACATAACAGTGTATTTACATATAAATAAATTTCGTTTGTTTATAAATTAAACCTTATTGCGTGGCATAATTCATTTTTAAATGTATCATTTTTATTTTTTATTTTTTTTCTACTTTTCGTTGGAATCTAACTAAGATTGCAGCGAGGTGAAATATTTCATTACAGGTATATAAAACCACAAAGCAACATATCTGGTCTTTGTTCACAAATGTATACGAATCACACAGTTTTGTTTTAGAAGGAAATGGGTATATTTCAACACCCCACTCCACTCCAAAAATACTCAATGTGCCCCAAATTAGCAAAATTCTGGATCCACTCCGAAAAATTCCGTTCTATCAACAGTGAACT